ATAATAACAGACACAAATAGCCACGCAACAACCATTCCTGGTTTTCTGGAATTCCATTCTGAATATGGAATACATAGAAAACATCCCTGGATAACCTGGTAACCACATCTGGTTCATTGAAAATACCAAACCTGGATTATAAAAAAGGAAAACAGAGAACCAGATCTGGAATTTTTAAAAACCAAACATGCATTGTTCCAAATGCCAAGTCTGGATATTGTAAAATCCAATTTAAGAAATAACCAGATTTGGTTTACATGGTTACCAAGTCTGGCTTATTTCAAATGCCAAGTCTGGATATTGTAAAATCCAATTAAAGAAATAACCAAATCTGGATTACCTGGTAACCAAGTCTGGATTATTTCAAATGCCAAGTCTGGATATTGTAAAATCCAATTTAAGAAATAACCAAATCTGGTTTACATGGTTACCAAGTCTGGATTGTTTCAAATACCAAGTCTGGATATTGTAAAATCCAATTTAAGAAATAACCAAATCTGGTTTACATGGTTACCAAGTCTGGATTGTTTCAAATACCAAGTCTGGATATTGTAAAATCCAATTTAAGAAATAACCAAATCTGGTTTACATGGTTACCAAGTCTGGATTGTTTCAAATGCCAAGTCTGGATATTGTAAAATCCAATTAAAGAAATAACCAAAAGAAATAAGCTATAATCTGGATTATCTGGTAACTAAATCAGACACTATACTATTAATTCTAAGTATTGAAGTAATATACATTGTATCGATCATTTACCTAATATCATCAGGTTAGGTCGAGTCAATTTTAGTGTTCATTTTTGCTTCCATTGTGTTCCATGCCATTCACCYTCAAGTATAGCCAAAATACTACTCCACTGAATAACTTGCTTTCTCGTTGGTTTCTCCTYTATCCACAGCTGGTTTGAAASGAAATTGTTGTGCTTAATAAAAAAATATGCCTCAACAGTTTTCGGTCTGTAGTTGACACGAACAACATTCGCTGTCCATATTTCATCCATTTGACCCTGCACAGAGATAAAATCACCAGTTTCTGGATACAATGGAACAATTACTACATGAGGTAAAGGCACTTTGTCCCTTGATGGATCAACAACTGCAAATATGTCTGTAGACTCATTATTTGTCTTTGTATATGTGTAACTGGTAAACAAATTTTCCTTCCTGTGACTTGARCAATAATGGTATCACTTATAGGGTGCCTAGACATGTTCTCATCATCAGTGTAAAGTGGCTGATAAAGTTTTAAAATGGCAACAGATGTCCACTTGCCTTCAATATCTAAAAGGCACAAATTCTCTACTTTTGCTACTATTTCAATGCCACTGGATAAGGCAATAATACTATCGCCTTTCCGGTACAATTTTCCATTTGGAATGYAGTGCAATGGCATAAAAACACTTCTAAATGTCTCAACAGCTTCAATATTATGTTGCACTTGGTCCATTACAGCTTTTCTATCTTCATTGGTTAAGACATGAAAATGTGGAGCACCAATAAGAATTCCATTAGATATCTTGCAGTCATCTTTGTTTTCCCAATAGAGTGTTCTTGCATTTTCCAATGAGGAAGCACATGCCTAGAAAGGTGTAAAATGTTAGTATCAGCTTCATTTAGTGYTTAATAATAGCATATCCAATCAAATAGTTTATTATGTAAACTAGATACTCTTAGAGTGTTAACTTTGGGTACCTAGTCAAGTTCACCCTTGTCACATGATYTGTGATGTCACAGACTATGATTGACAGAACATATAGACAGTGTGAAATGAAGTTTATTTTCAAATTTTGGATTGACMTTCATTAACACAAGAAATTGTGTTTTATTAGGAAAATGACACCAACCTTTTCTTTATCTGCAGTGATGGTTTTTGCTGATCTTACACATTTGACTCTTTGGAAGAAACGCAGAAATKYTCTCTGTGTTTCTCGTCTTGCAAATGACTTCTCAACATATTTTTTGTTGGTAGATTGACGCACATAACGTTTTACAGCTCTTTCGAAATCAAAGCACCAGTAGTTGTCTGGTGAGGAAAATCTTTGAACATCATCAGAGAGATGTGTGAGGTTATGAAGATTAATGACACAAGAACTGGTTCCATACATTTCTTCATAGAGAATACAGTATCTCCAAGCCAATCTTCTAAAATTATCTATCATGCCAGTAGACCAGCCGTTTCTTCCGCTGTTAAAAACAATTTCAATCTTGGAACTGGAGCCCAAACATTGTAGTCTTCATTGTCCAGTAGTCCGTTCAACACAAACTCGGAGGCTGGGAATGCTAGCTTTTGAAATTCCTCTGCTACAACAAAAGAATTTAATAATTAAAGTAGGCTCTCAAGTTGTATATAGTGATATGCCCTTGAAACATTTATATAAAGCCCCAAAACATAATAATAATTTGATTCAAAGTGAGATATGATTCCATGAGTAACAAACAACAACAAAAATAACAAAGAAAAAAAGTGACAGAAAACCAAATGCAAATAAAGAGTGCTGCAGGCTAGTCACATAACGTGATGACTTATTTTAGTACTCACTCTCCCAAACAAGAATAGCTTWTATTGGAAGAAGTATAGTCATCATTGCATTTTGACGACACACATTTTAAACATTCCATTAAATTTACCTTTCCATGAACCAACAGAGTCTATGTCTTTAGGCAAACGAGAAGCACAATAATCTKTTGATAGAATAAGAAATATACTGACATGTATAATACAATAAAAATTGAGTTGAATACTTTCTCTGATTTCCTTGTATGGCATGGCTTATATGTCTTGTTGTATATATATATAAAGAATGTTAAAAGCAAAAAAGAAGCCWTTTTGGCTTTTTTAAAGTTACTGTATAATAAATAATTGACAGTTATTCGCCAAAGACGAAGTGGATATCAGTGATAACCGATATCCACAAGCCTACAATTGATTTTTTTTTTTTTTTTTTTTTGTAGTGAAATTACCTGTAGTCCATGGCATTTTAGAGAGATTCTCTTGAAGGACCTTGCGATTTAAACTTCCACTGCCAATTAATCGCTCAATGTGATTCTTGACAACATTGAGAGGAAGAAGGTGCATAACATCAAATACAGCATCAGTTAAGAAATTAAAYCCATAAAGTGGGTATAGACGATGCAGAATTGATAGCCCCAAATAGCCTTCCTCTTTACTTTTACTTTTGAAATATGTTGGTCTTTCTTCTTCATCAATATCTTTCATTTTTGGTATCTCATTCTCAAGAATTCTTGCATCGTAAGGATATCTGTATTGCCTTCTAAACTCTGGGTAATAATWATGATWTTTTTCTTGCACCCAAGTACCTAGAAAGACATTATTTATGTCTATAATTAAAAGCATGTAATTGTGCGTACTATTATGTAATATAATAAATAKAAAACCACAGCATAAGTACATGTATCGTCATTCAAAATAAAGCATAATCCAAGTAGATTGAATTCATGATACTCGAAAAAGGCAAGGMACAAGGTACACACGTAGAACAAACATTTATATTTCAATTTCAGCTCAAGTCATCATCAGAGTGAATAATGATGACTTGAACTCAAGTCGAAGTGTAAGTTTTTATTCTACCTTGTGTACTGTCTTTTTTGAAATGTTCGATTAACAGTATCATGAATCTACTCAGATTATTCTATATTGTGTATTTCTTCAAGTTGTCGGAAGGTAATGGACAAGTATTCATATTACATTGAATCTACGGAATATGGTATTATAAAAACTATACCCTTTCGAATTATTGTTAGTTTGAAGGGTAACACAAATGGACTGATTGATAGATCCTTCCTTGATAACTTACCACAGATGTGGCATCTACGACAAGCCTTCTTTCCTCCAGCACCTTTTGCCTTACACACCTCACACTGAGCTGGATGGTCKCCAGTCCAAAGCAATAATAAATGACGAATGGTGATCTTAACAGGTTTTKTTGAAGGGTTTAATATTGTTCCACAGTATTCAACCTTGTATCCTGAAGTTTAGAATGAGCAAATAATTATTTCAATGCTTAATATSWAAATACTGCCCAAATAAGACTTGTTGAAGATGCTTGTTGGCAAACATGCATAGATATTAGATTAAATATTATTCACATTTTACCTTCTATGAATCCATTTTCGAGATCTTTAATAAGTGGTTCTAAAAATGGGTCGATACTGTTAGGTCTTCCATCTGGTAAATCATAGGAAGGAACAAATCCTACGGTATACACCTCTTCAGTTTGTAACCGGTCTCTTTTGGACATCGTAGCAATGGAAACTTCAATTGCTCCTGTAATCATACATAAATTTTATGGCTGGGATGGAAAAACAACAAATGTGCAAGGACAAGTCAAATACAATAGCAAAGATTACAGAGGATAAAGATAACGATAAAATAAATAAAATCTCATGGAATTACTACATATTCTGTATTTACAGAAACTTATCCTGATATAAAAGGTTCATCTAGCTATTTATTGCAATTTTATTGAAAAGACATGGTGGCCTAGTGGTTAAGGCGTCAGACTTAAATGTATATCAATATACCTGTGCTTCTTTTTTTTGAGCCAAATGGCTGAAAACCATCCCAATGTCCTGCAAAGAAGAGGAAGGTCAAAAAAATGTCAGTTGGTCAGACAGGCTTGTATAATATATTTTTTATAATTTTAGATAGTTCAAGGAGTTGAATTCAGAATACATAGACCTCTATTTGTTTTACCTATGTAAGCAATATTTCTTGKATCCCCTTCGGTAAACTCTGGCCGGTGGAAGAAAGTTGAGCAGCAATTGTCACAATATATTTCCTTTAAACCATCAACATTTGRCTGCTTTTCAATATATGAGGCACTCAACACATTGCTACATCCAGGTGTTCTACATCWWGCAGGTAACAACCAYTTTTCATTAGGATTCCAAAACCATGATAGTTCTGAAAACCTATCACCATCCCAAAGCTCCTTTTTATCTTGATCTGAGAGCTCATTGGCTCTATCCAACCATCTGTYTTTTTGATTCCAGTGCGCAGACATCTTCTCACACATGTCAGGACTAGAATACCACTGTTTAACTTTGCCTTCTAATCCAAGGTAATAGTACTTAATAGATCCAGGATTATCACAGTGACGACATACTTCATCTTTTGAGTCCATAATGTCCCAATGCCTGGGATGAGAGCTGTTTAGACATATAAAATATTCTCTGGCATCCACATATCCAAGTTCAACTAAATACTTCTTAGCACTTTCCCATGTTTGTKGCCATAATTCTTTTATGTCAGGGTCATTCTCATCCACACCTTTTCCTAAGCAATACATTTCTCTTGCAAGTGAGAGAAGAGCTTCGAAATTACTTAAAGATTCGCCTGAGTCTCTATTTAGGTCCAATACTTTAAATATACTCTGTACAATTGCATATTTCAAAGTCGTAGTTTCTACATCAGAACTTTCAGGTATGTCATCACAAGGTGCACTTTCATTGCTTTCAGTGCATGGGTCGCAAATACTTGATACAGAGTTATCAACCTGATCAAGTTCACTTAATCCACTCTTGTCACTAGCATCATCATAACTGTTTTCAGTCTCATTGTCTGAGACCATGTCTAGAAAAAAGGATTTGTCCATTAAAATCTACAAAAATAAAACTTGTTAAGTGTACAACCACAAAGTTACAGTCAAAGCATGAACACATACATAGAGGTCATTAATTGAGCCATTATTCCATATTGATTTGATTCTTTGATTCAAATATTCACTAAGACTTATTGAATTCGCTATTGATTATTGTATTACACCTATAAGAAGTTTGTATTGAATGAATAAAATCAGTGTACAATCAAAGACTAAGCGAGTAGTTTAAAGAATTGAGTTTTTATGTTGTTATTCTTCCGGGTATTCCGGCGTCACCGAACAAATCAAAACATGTTTTTGAAAATTTTGATTCAYATCTTTGTCAGTGAATGTTTGAAATTCAACACATAATTATGTGAAATTAGTGCACTATGACTTAAATCATACACCTAGTTCTAATACAGTAAAGACGGTAAGCTTAACTTAAGACTTAAGTTTAAGCTTACTTACCTTGGCTGCTTTTTTCAGGAGCGACATCGAGTTGAGCAGCATCTTGTCGCATTCTCTTTCTACTTGGTCCGTAACRAACTAAATGAAGTTGTTGGGTACGATAATTGACAGCTTTTCCATCGCATTCTTGACAACTGCAGTGAACATGTACGGTATTTTTGGCAGAGSAATGACACAAAGAAGTTCCTGCAATTTCGTCCGCCATTTTAAGTGAGTCTGTGATATATGCTGTCAGCGGAGTTCGTTCGAATGGCGKGAAAAAGCGGCCAATCAGAGCTTGGGCGGGAATGAATAGCCAATGAAAAGATTGGTTTTTGCAAGAGAAAACAAGGCAACCAATCAAATTTAGAGTTGGAATGAGATAAAAAACGACCAAGTTCAAAATCGTTCTTTCGCTAGCTGTTCGTTTTGGCTAACTGTTTGTCATGTCGAATGGTACTGGAAAAAAGTTTCGTGCCTCATTRCCTGAGGCTCACGATTCTTTCTGGAGCGAGAAAACCACGGATGSAACAAGTCCTCATTTATCGGATTCTGATTCTGATTCTGAGTGCGAGACTTTAGATGAATCTTCCCCGCTAACAACAACGTATATCGGGTCGTCCCAGGAAGACGGACGACCAAGGTCTGCCTTTGCCACATCTTCTTCTTTAACTWCTAGCAGTGAAAAGGCCGCCAATAACAACTCAAACACGGCCACTGACACGTTAAATGTGATAACTGATGAAAGTACTTAAGACCCTTCAGGTAAAAAGCATTTAATTTGATAGCGAAAAGTCTTATTTTTCAAAACAAGCTAAAACCGCCAAAACTGCAAACGGCGCCATCTTGGACATATTGCAAAGAAGAACAAAACCCGACTTGAGCAATTTAAACTAATATTATTACTTAGACTGGTATAAGAGTAGTGATAATCTTTCTTTGACTGGTATTTTCGCTTGTGTGGACGACATATTTTCTTACTTAAGATATTTATTGTTTTAAGAATAATGACTTGTCTTAAGGTCAAGTGCACTTTAACAAGTTCATACTTGAAGTAATACCAGTATTAATATAAGGTATTGTCCCACTTAGAGTAAGCTGTAATGYAGTTGTGTTCTGGCTACTAATGCAAGTGCATTACATCCAGTCTTTCCTTTGAGAAATTACGGAGTAATTTAACTGGCTGCACGCAGGCAAAATTGTTGTTTTCCTATTAGATCAAAATATAAACAAAAAACAATYATTTCCTAATATTTCTTGAAAACATTTTGTGATTTTGTTTATGTTTTTTTCGTATAACATAGTAAATTATGTTTGTACCCAGCATATTTCCCTTCACATTTTGTTATTGTCTATCCAAATTGGCTTTTTCTCCTTGTCGATGCTATGAAAAAAATTAGATAATAAGTAAGTATCCTGTGATATCTTCTAGATTGGAGTGTTACAGAGGTTAAAGATTGRGCAAAATATATCTTCAATGAGGAAATTGCAGCAAACTTTGAAAAACAGGAAGTTGACGGGGAAACCCTTCTTGACCTGACACTTGACAACTCATGGGAAGWACTTGGTTTAACAACAATTGGGAAGAAATCAAAATTCACTAAAGAAATTCTGAAGTTAAAAGGTATTATACTCACCATTTTGGACACCTAAACTTCATCCCACAAAGACATTGATGTGCCATTATATAGATCTGTGATACCCCTCATTTGTTAACAAATTGCACATGCGAATGAATTAATATATTGTTTGTGAGGTTCAAAAAAATCATCACATGAAACATAAATTAGTTCTTGACAAAAACAGTTGGCAGGATGGGTCTTACAGAACTACTTATCAATKAGCCAGAACAACTTAAAATGACTAAAAGCTAATACACAAGTGACAAAACAAAATCACTCAAAAATAATAATAATTATTTTACCCGCGAACGTCATTAAGTGTTACATGTTTTCATTATTTCACAATAGAAGTGTGTTGAGTCTAAGTTAGGGGTGTTGCAGCCTAATGGGATTCTATAAACAAACAAAACTTTTTCCAGGTGGGAAAACTCTGAATGGAGAACCGCAAGCAAAAAAAATGCGAATAGAACAAGATGAAGACAGGCTTTTGACAAACAAGGAAAAGGATGAAATGACTAGCAAGGAAAGATCTCTTTATAACACCAAGTATGTTTTTTTATCAATACTTCTAAACTTCAATCAATCTTAGAGTAATAACTGGTATGAATTTGAAAGCAATCGGCYAAAAGYAACGTCGTCTAAAAAYAAATAATGAGGGCAGTCATCG